ACAGAAAAGTGGGTGAAGGGAGACGTCGGACAGGGCAAGATATGACAAAATAATAATTTATAAATTATCAAGGGTTCATGAGGGAGGGGGGAGCGGTGAGGGAGGGGGAAAAGTGAGGAGCTGATGCCAGGGGCTTAGGTGGAGAGCAAATGTTTTGAAAATGATGAGGGCAATGAATGTACAATGTGCTTTACACAATTAATGTGTGTATGGATTGTGATAAGAGTTGTATGAGCCCCTAATAAAACAATTAAAATAAGTAAATAAATAAATAACAGGGGATTTCAACATCATTTAAAATACCCAGATATGGAACATAAAGGAAAATTTCCAAACTAGGTTTGTGAATTGAATATAAAATTGATCTTAAAAAATCTGAAGATTTCCCACAACAAAAGAAATTATTTCATTCCTACCAACAACAGAAAAATTAATTTCCTGCGGCAATTACATAATCTCCTGTCAACTTGCAAAGGGGCGGGGTCTAGGCTGTCAACCCTTGGGGGTCACAGCTTGATGACCTCATTTAGAGGTGCAAAGAAGATAAACAGCTCGCTGGAGGCCAGATACATTTTCTGCTTGTCTCCCTGCGAGACATTCCTGTTGACAAGCCACATGGCGCTACGCTGATGGAGCCAGAGCCCTGCAGCTGGAGGAGCCTTGTGGAGACTCATGCCAGCACTGAGGTGGTTCCACCCCCACTGGATCCAAAGGACTTTCCACCCACTGGATTGTGATCTTCCTGCATTCGGTTTAATTGCATTCGTTGTACAAGTCTGAAGAGAAACATATAGACTGGTAACGGACATATGGGCTAATATCAGGCTTATGGACTTTCTCTGGACTGGGCTGGAATGTTTTCTGAATATATAATTACTCTTTGATATAAAGTTCTTTCTTACACGTATATAAGTGTCTCTGGATTTATTTCTCTAGTCAACCCGGACTAACACAGTTCCTAAATCTCACTTACAAATATTGAGGGAAATTTTCTACATTAAAGTATCATCACACAGACTCTGAAAGTATATTAAATAATAATAGGTAATGGTCCAGTGGGCTTTATTCCAGGATGCAGGAATTATTAGATACTAGGAATTCCATTAATCCTAAATACTAGGCTTACATAGAAAAAGTATATGGTCATCTCTCTCAGAGCTAAAAGATACATCAGGAAAAATTGGATCTCCGTGACTCAATTTTTAAAGTAACTCTCAGTAAATGAAATAAAAATTGATAAATTATTTCCTCAAATAGCTACACACACATACACCCAAAGTCAACAACTCTTTAGAGAGAAAGAAAAAGTCAGACATAAGACAAGGGTACCCACTAGTGACACGCTTAATGAAAGACTTGCTGAAAATGTGAACAAGTTTCATTATCAGACATATGGGCTAAT